AGATGAACAATGTTTGCATTTGGTGACTAGCCATTGCTGAGAATAAAATGAAATAATTTTCGACCTCTGGGGGCTTTAGAGAGAGTGCTGTATGATACAAATGAGTTCTCGGTGCAGCTAAAGCAGCCAGACTCCAGTGGCAGGGAAAAGGCTTCCTCACTTCACCTTACTAGACAGGTGGAGCAGCATACTGGTGTTTCAGAGGCATTCCTTTGCGAACATGGCCTACAGATGACCTATTCCTCCTACACTCTGAACATTCCTTGGCAGTGCAGCCACACAACGCCTCAGGGCTTCAATGAAAGGAATAACGTGTGCTTTTAAGCTCTTAAGAGCTTCAGGAGAGATGAGGCTCCTAAATCCACAGCCCATTAAGCAGACACTGATGTCTATGTGAAGTCCCTGACAAGTCTGCTTAAGAGGATTATTAACGCTCCACACAAAGAAATCCAAATGGGAGGCCGAGAGAAAGGTTAAGAAACATGCCAGAGATTTACCTAGTTTTAGCGCTCAACTGGGCACTGATTTTCAAAGCTTAAAAAGCCATCTGTGGAGCTATCAGGAAGCAGCTTCAGTTTATTGTTTTATGTTACTTTATTAGCACACCATTATACATACAGCATCCTATGTGTGGGGTACTGTTCTAAACGCTTCACAAAAAGCAATGAATTTTAACCCTCCTAACAACCCGATTCATTGGGTGGTTTCCTCACCCGCATTTCACAGAAGGGTCACACAGCTAGTTTATGTAACCAAGAAACTGTAGTGTCTCCTCTGGGAAGCCCTCCGTGATCCTTGCAGGTATGTTAGTCACCCAACGTATTAATACGACCATTCCCAACGTCTTCCATCCCCACTTCCCCAGGCCAGAGTCCCATCTCCCCCATCCCTGTGTTCTCATGCCTAGCCAGTGTTCAACACACTTTGCTAAAATGAATCAAAAAATACAGGTCCACATCTCTTATCTGAAATCTTTGGGGCCACATATATCTTGAAATTCAGAATATTTGGGATTTCAGGACATTAATTCAGTGCTCTATATAACCCCTGATGGGATCTTATACAGCACCCCCCCCAGTGAAACACAAATGGCCACAAAGTGAGCAAAAGACACATGAGAGGCTATCTTGACCTTCTCTATTCAAGAAAATCCTCCTCCCTTTCACCGTTCAAGTGAGGAGATGTACTGCTGTCCTCAAGTATGTGCTCATCAAGGATAGCCACCATGCTGCAACACGTTGCCACAAACTAAGTGGCTTAAATCAACCAAATTTATTATCTTATAGTTCTGGAGGTGAAAAGTCCAGAATGCCTCTCACTGGACTAAAATCAAGACATCGTCAGGACTGCGTGCCTTCCACAGGCTCTGGGGAGAGTCTGTCCTTGCCTTTTCTAGCTGCCCACAGTCCTTGGCTCGTGGCCTCTTCCTGCAACTTCAAGCAAGCAATGGCTCGTCAAATTGTTCTCACCCTGCATCACTCTCTCTCTGGCTCTCCTATCTCCCAATTTTATTGGTAAGACACTTGTAATTATTACATTGGGCCCACCTGGATTATCACCCATCTCAAAAAATCCTTCACTTAATTAACGACATCTGCAAAATCCCTTTCCCTTGTAAGGTAACAAATGCACAGGTTTTGGGAATTAGATAGTAGATCTATTTAAGGGGAGGTGGGAGGCATTATTCTACCTGCCACAGTCTAAATTCCTTTTGCTTCCCCAGCATCTATTGCAGTGCCAGACACATAGCAGAAACATAGTAAATGTTTGCTGGGCTTTTCTTTATGTTACTTAATGTCTCCAAGCATCAGTTTCTTCATCTTTAAATAGAGACTAAAAATATCCACTATGAGCCTTGCAGGGGAGTGAAAGTGCTGTGAAAACTACAAAGAACTCTTAAGAGTGAAGATCAAGGGCTGGGTGTGGTGGCTCACACCTATAATCCCAGTACTTTGGGAGGCCAAGACAGGAAGATGCTTGAGGCTAAGTAGTTCAAGAAAAAATGAAGATCATATCTCATGAGTTGGCAGGAAAAAATACACATATCCATTTGTGAAAGAGCTAGTATGTAAATAAGAAAAGAGAGTAGGATGCTGAGAGAATTCCATTCAATTCAACAAGTCATGATGGAAAAGAGCCAGTTACTAGAAGATCTAAATCATGTTATCATGTAGCCGTAAGGTAATCCAGTAAGGGACACCACATAATTTAATTTCCAAATTGAAGGGGGCACTAGTAATATTTACTCTGGGACAAAAGTATCAACCAGAAACTCCCAGGCAAGAAAATGAATGGCCACCCCCAACATGTAGCCTAGTAGTTGAGCCTGGGCTCTGGAGACTAAATGCCTACAACCAAATCTGAGACAGGCTCTTACAGCATGGTGACCTGGGGCACGTTATTTAACCCCATTCGGTCTTAGTTTTCTCATCTGTATAATGAGGATAAAAGACCCATGTCATCGATGTGAGGGTCAGATGAGTCATTGCATATGGAGCCTTCAGAACAGTGCCTGGCACCGGCAAGAGCTCAGTAAAAGTTAGTGACCATTCTGCATCCAGGCCAGCCAAGCACATATCCTCTAAACCCCCACAAGTTCACAGCACAGACTTTCCCATGTTGTCCTACACACCCAGCCAGTAGGCAAAGGGCAGGCAAGGCTCACCACCTGCAAAGGAACCTCTGTGAGGGATGGCGATCTTTCCTTCGGAACCTGCTCCCCGACACTCCCACTTCTGTCTTCCCTTCCTGGTTTCTGAGCTCATTTTGGAACCCAGAGCTGCAGTGCTAGTCTGGGATCCTGTAATGCCTTGTCAGGAAATACAGCAAAATCCTTTGTTATCAGAGCAGGAGACAGGATGACTGGAAAATTAACTCCCTAAAGTAGCAGTCTTTCCTAGTGAGTGTGCTGTGTCCATCTGATAGAGCGGGTAATGTTTTACTTCTAACTTTTAAGTCTTTGTGTACTAGAATCACAATGTGCTAACGTCATCTCAAAATGCAAGCTACACGAACATGTTCCTGAATATATCTCCTCTCGCCACATTCTGTCCTAAACCAAATCCCAAGTTAATATGGCTCCACAGAAAAATATTACAAGTACAGACTAAAGTAATTTCTGCTGAACCTGGAATAATGATAATGTTTATCCCTATTATAAAAATAACAGCTATAACAATCAATATTTATTCAATGCCTACTATGTGCCAGGCATCATTCTAAGCACACAATGGGCATTTAATCTTCAACAAATCTATGAAATAGGTACTATTATTATCTTTATTTTACAGATGAGAAAATGAAACATAGAGGGGTTAAATCACTTTTCCACAACATACATATCTAGTAAGTGGTGGAGGCAAGATTAAACTTAGCCAGTGTGGCTTGAATGCACACTCTTAGATACAAACTCTGCTCCCTTTCATGTTGAAAAGCAAAGAGACTTCCTCCTGCATATCAGGGGCCACCCAGGGATACTGCATAACCAAAAATAACAAGTCCTTCATTAGCGCCTCTACTGAGGCCCTCTTTGTGGACCACCTGCATCTATCTCCTTTGCCTATATGGCAAACTCCTAATCATCTTTCACCCTCTGCTCTTTCAGCTTTTACTGCATCACTGAGTGCAACATAGGCACTCAAGGCACATTGCAAGATTTCAGTATGGTAGTTATTCAATAACTGTTAACATTTTTCTAAGGTATTGATATTACTATTATTACTTTAATTTTTTTATTTTTATTTTTTAAGGCTAGTCAAGTGAAGCAATGGGAGTGAAGAAGGAACAAAGGAATCTATAATTGGTTGTGATCAATTAGTTATAAAAACCACTGTGCTCGGACAAGCCAAAGGTGCTGATATTTAAACAACATTAGCCTTAAGAAGGGATTCAAAGCAGATTTTCTTTTCAGAATAAGCTCCCTGAATTCAATATGTATTTTATTTAAAAAACTGATTTGCATTTACCTAAGACTGCATGATATACAATGATACACATATGTTTATACCATTTTTTCTTTTGTTATTATTTTTAATTAACACACAATTGTACATATTTATGTAGTACAGAATGACATTTTGATACATGTCTACAATGTATTTCGATCACATCAAGGTAATTAGTACATCATCACCTCAAACATTTATCAGTTCTTTGTGTTGAGAACATTCAAAATCTGCTCTTCTAGCTACTTGAAAATATACAATAAATTGTTGTAACGATGGTTATTCTACAGTGCTACTGAACATTAGAACTTACTCCTCCTGTTAGCTGTAATTTTATATGTTACCCAACCTCTGGCCATCCCTCCTCCCTTCCCCCTTTCCAGCCTCTAGTAACCACTATTCTGCTCTCTACTTCTATGACATCACTTTTTAATTTTATTTTTATTTTTTATTTTTTTTTTTTTTGAGACAGAGTCTCGCTTTGTTGCCCAGACTAGATTGAGTGCCATGGCATCAGCCTAGCTCACAGCAACCTCAATCTCCTGGGCTCAAGCGATCCTACTGCCTCAGCCTCCCGAGTAGCTGGGACTACAGGCATGCACCACCAAGCCAGGCTAATTTTTTGTATATATATTTTTAGTTGGCCAATTGACTTCTTTCTATTTTTAGTAGAGACGGAGTCTCGCTCAGCCTGGTTTCGAACTCCTGACTTGAGCAATCCGCCCGCCTTGGCCTCCCAGAGTACTAGGATTACAGGCATTGAGCCACCATGCCTGGTCAACATCAACTTTTTTAGCTTCCACATGAGTAAGAACGCATGGCACTTACCTTTCTGTTTATATCATTTTTGAGCAGGGTTGCACCAGGCAGCTTTATTCACATAAATCTCATGCATCTTAACAGAGGCAGGCTGCTATTGTTTTTCTTCAACTCAGTTTACCAAAGCTACACAGACTTTGAGCAACCCGTGCACCAGAACCTCCGACCCTCACAGAGCAAGTCCCCCAAGAAAAGACAAGAAAAGCACCCCGGTCGTTCCAGCACCAGCCACCTTACTTGTTAATGTTGCTGCCTTCTTTCAGTCGCTCTCCCGCAGCTCCAGTTTTAGACACTCTCTCGCTACCCGCCAGGTCTACCAAGCTGACCTTACTGACTTTCTCTCCTGAGTTCTAGTTGTAGAAAACAAGAGAGAAACAACACACATTAATGCAAAAACAAATCACACAGACACCTACACATATGTCTGTACTGTAATTGAGAGCAACCTGAGTATCCATCCCACTCCAACAGCAAACTTCTCAAGATTTTAAATGGCCAGAAGAGTTATATGAACTAGCAATTAACTTCACAGTCAAAATTTAAATTGGTATGAAATGTAGCATTTTGTTTTACATCCAGGTAACCAGTATATCAGTTTTCCAGAATCTAGTCAGAAATCTGGAGATGTTATGTGCCTATGAGGAAATATTTGATGATGTGGATTTCTGCACATTCAGGTCCAATCTTTCATCTTTTGGGAAGTGTTCTTTGGGCTAGATGTTGTGGTTTCTTCTTTCATATCCCTCAACTGACTATGAAGTAGGCTTAGTTGTTTTTAGGGCAATTTCAGTATGCAAAGATGCATATTAAAAGCTGCATGGTGGTATCCTCATGTTATTAGGGAATTTACATGAGAAATCCAATTTAAAAAAAAAATTATATATAAAGAAAGACCTCGGAAATTAAAGGATTTAAGCAAAATAGTTCCTTTAGGAAGTACAAGAGCCAACATAAAATTCTCAGCCACTGACTCCAACCATGAAACACGTCACCCACATAGACACTTTGAGATCTTCCACTGTCCCCAAGGTTCTGCCCAATCCCTCACCCCAGACTGGAGGTCATAAAGTGTCTGGGTGATTATGATGTTGAACACAGCATGGGAGCGGCTGCTTTCTTCATTCATGTTGGTCGCAGCCACCGTCCGAGACTTATTTCCCTCAGACATCAAAGACTCGATATCCTAGAGGCAAAGCATAAGGAAAACGCCATAAGCAAAAGCACAAGAACACAGTCCTGCATACCAGGGGTATGTGCTAATGAATTACGATTCCTCTGGCACCTTCATCACCACCCTTCCATGAAAACCTCTCCACCTACCTCTCCTCCATCAAGCATGGTGTGAGCTTCCACCTCCCTCTGAGCTTTCTAGCATATGAACAGTCTTCTTCCATTCTTCTTTCCCTCCCCCAATTGCCTTTTTTTCTCTGTTAAGTCCTTATTTTCTCCTTTCTAAGTTCCTAGGGGAGCTAACATTTACTGAGCACTCTAGATCAGGGGTCCTCAAACTTTTTAAACAGGGGGGCCAGTTCACTGTCCCTCAGACCGTTGGAGGGCCGGACTATAGTTTAAAAACAACTATGAACAAATTCCTATGCACACTGCACATATCTTATTTTGAAGTAAAAAAAAAAAATGGGCAAAACACCCGCATGTGGCCCGAGGGCCATAGTTTGAGGACGCCTGCTCTAGATACTCAGTAACAGTAGTGACCTTATTTAATTCTAACTCTCCTGTGCTAAACAACCCACTACTGCCTGCTCATTTGCCTTCCTCCTCCAACGCTGTGGCTCTCCAAGGGCAAGGGACTTCCCTTGTTTAACGCTGTACACTTGCTCCCAGAATACCTTGAGCCTATGAGCTCTTACAAAATGTTTGCAGAATGAACTTAAGTATTTTCCTGATTTTACACATAAGGATGCTAAAGTTCATGGAAGTCAAATACCTTTTCCCATATCTAATGAGAGGGGGAGCTGGGGTACAAATCAAGTGCTCCCTGCTCTTACTAATAAGTGACAGGATGATGTCGACACGGACTTCAACTGCATTGAGCTAAGAACCAGGCCCTCCTCGAAGGTGCTGCACATTTACAGCAGAAAGGTTTCCATTCATTTCAGAATCTAAATGTTTTAAAAGGGATGACACTATGCCCTATTTCTGATTTGAGCAATACTCTATACATCTTCCTTTAAATGACTGGAGAGAATTAAGTCATAGATCAGTTTTAGTCATACTGAGTCTGAGGTGATAATGGCCAGCCACATTGCATAGATAGCACCAGTAAGTACAGGGATTCTTCTGTTCATTCACTCATTCATTCACTCACATTTTTCAGCAACAGAGAGAGTAGTTTGTGTTATGAGATTTCCAAAGCAATGACTACAGAAATAAGGGCAGAAAAAAGAATCTCAGACTGTAACAAGGCATTTATGTCCTTTTAAGTCAGGGAGTAAGAAAAGGAAAATATGCCAGTCAATGGAAAGGGGAGTGACTAAAAAAAAAAAAAAACCAGAAGAGCCAGAAGAATGAAAGGTGACAGAAACCAAGGCAGGAGATTCTGTCAAAATAAAGGGGTTGGAATTAACTATCAAAATCTGTTTAGACTACCACATTTGTCTAGAAGGACGTCACCGGGAAACTGAAGGAGAACAGTTTCAATAGTGTGGTATCAGGGAAAATATTCAGCAACCTCAAATCATTAGGCCTTTCAGCCACACACAAAACCTTCACAACAAACGAGCCTGAAGAGTGTGATTACAAGCCCTTTCTCTCTCGAGTTGGGGTGTGCCGATACCGGGATTCTGAGGACGTGAATGGTATCAGTATGTTGTAAAGCATCCACATACAAATACATTCAACATCACTTATACACTTTGATTTATAGCCAGTTTTTTAACAACATTTAAAAAAACTTACCTCAAAACTAGTGACAGCTAATTGAGATAAACCATCTACATATGGTCCCAAAACTTTATGCTCTCGAACTTTAAGAGACTGTCTACTCCTATGGGAGGGAGGAAAAGGGAATGAATGAAACAGACCAAACTTGAAAGCTTTTCTTTCTTTTTAGGTACTTACTAACTAAGATTGCAATTTCAAAAGAATTTTTTTTAATCACATACACACACACAAATTCTAAAACTACTTTATTTGGATTAGCAAAACAGCATTCCACATGAGGAATGTCTTTTATACTCTGATTTCTATTTAAAGTAACTTACTATTTTAAAACATCCTATCTCTAGTCCCAAGCTAAACAGTCAGTACACAGAACTAGGTTAGGCTAACTCATTTTAGTAGATGAACTTGTTTCACATAGGGGGGAAAAAAGGAAAGAGTGAAGCAAAAAATATGCTAGATCAAATTTAACCTTAAGGCTATTTTATAAGTAAGCACATTCTCAGCAAACAATGTTTTAAAATTTTTGGACAAATAGTGAACAATATTAAAATGCTTTTAACTTTAATTTACTCCTTTAAGTTGCATTGATTTATGTTGCTTTTATGACAATTTTATAAAGAAATGAGATTATATTAATAGCATGGTGGTTGTTAGTATTTATCCTATATTTAGCACTGTCTCTACTGGTGAAGACTTTAAGTCTCTGAGTTTTTGAATAGCAAACCTGATTTGGAACCCATTTGAAGAGCTTATTGACAGACAACAGAGATTAAAACCAAGGCCATAAGCACTCTGGGAGGCCAAGGCGGGAGGATCACTCCAGTTCAGGAAGTCAAGACCAGCCTTGAGCAAGAATGAGACCCTACTCTTTACTAAAAATTGAAAGCCAAACAACTAAAAATATACAGAAAAAAAATTAGCTAGGCAAAGTGGCATATGCCTGTAGTCCCAGCTACCCAGGAGGCTGAGGCAGGAGGATTGCTTGAACCCAGGAGTTTGAGGCTGCTATGAGCTAGGCAGACGCCATGGCACTCTAGCCTGGGCAACAAAAAAAAGAATTCAATGTGACAATGAACAATTCTGCAGTACTCTAAACAGGGAAATACTACAATGCATGTCCTCAAGAGAGCTATGTTTATGCACATGATCCAGCTCAGTCTGCTTGCACAACCAGAGGTTCTGTAACATTATTCAGCAGCAAGAAGAAGTAAATCTAGCATGATATTGAGTGCTTGTGATGGTGCCTAACATCTGGAATTCTTGTATACTGCTGGTGGAAGTGTAAACTGGTATAACTGCTTTGGAAAACAGTTTGCACTATTTAATAAAGTTGGAGATTTAGTATCTTGTGACTCACAATTCCAGCCCTTGATGTAGTCTCTTTCTTGCACCTATACACCAGGAGACCTATATAAGAATTTTCAGAGCTACGCAGTAATAATAAAAAGAAACCACACCAATGACAGGGGAACGCATAAATTATGGTATAATCATACAATGGAATGCCAAACAGCAGTAAAAATTAATGAATTAGTACTTCATATATAAGAATAAATAAATCATTGGGGGGAGGGAAAAAGCAAATCACCGAAGAACCTATATATTATAGTGTCACACAAAGTTAAAAACTGAGCAAAATTATGTGTAAATGCCAAAGAAGAGTAAAAGAATGACAGACACAGAATTCATAATAGTAGTTCCCTTGGGAAGAGGTAGGGAATGGAATGGGATCCAAGAGGAACATATAGGGGGCTTCCAAAATACTGGTCATGTTCCATTTACTAAGCCAAGTGGCGAGAAGGCAGTTGTTGATTTCATTATTCTTTACCCTTTACAGGTGTTATAAATGTTCTTTTCTATATATTAAATAGTTAATAGCTTCTTAAAGTAAATATAAAAGTTTCCTATGATTGGGCCACTTCTTTGTCACTCAAAGTTTTGATTGCACACCTCTGATTTCACCTAAGATTTTTGTGGACTTATAAACGTTCACAAATGTTACATTTCAGCTGCTAAAAGAATTTTATTTTTTAATGACAGGAGAAAGCATTCATTGTGTTACATGAAAAATTCAGGATGCTGAATTATCTTTTAAGAGAATGACCTGAAAATGTGCACACATACATAGATCTGAAACACAGGATCAAAATGCCCCAAAGTATTAACAATGGTTATTTTTGAATGGTGGGATTAGAGATCATCTTTATTTCTTCTTATACTTTACCTACTTTCTAATTTTCTATAAATACATACTATTTACATACAGTAAAGAATGTTTTTTTAGCTCAAAAAAATGTAAATGGCTTTCCTTCCTCTATGAATCAAACTCATCTAATCTTTATTATCTAGTTTTTAAAAAATATAGATGCAGGTTTCCCCCTGGGTCTACTGAATCACAGTCTCTATGGGTGGGCCTTGGTCTAGTCACTCCAGTAGATCCTTAAAAAGTTCCCCACAACATTCCAATGCACAACCAGGGTATGGAACTATTGCCTAGACTGAATTGCTTCAATCCTTCAACCATTTTACCTTCAACACGGAGTTGATTCTTATCAGTATAAATGGAAGAACCAACGTGTTATTTGTAACTCAATTTTTATGAATAGTTCATGGTGGCAAAAAATAATACCAGAAATAAAAAAAAAAAAAGGCACACACAGGCAACTTTATACATGAGTACAGGATAAACTGTATATACACTGGGTATGCTGATGGGCTTTGAGAAGCTGATGATTTCAGTAAATGAACTGAAACCACAGTAAAAAAAAGCAAGGGCTCAAATACATACATTTACCCTTGATTTTAACTTTTAGAATCATTTAAAATTATTTACCCTCTATTTACAAGCTGCATTTCAATCATTAACTTACCCTTTGGGGTCTAAAAGATCTCGAACTTTCTCATTATAAATTTCCATATAGGACACTTCGACTTTAAAGGTCTGGGATTCATTTTGCTCCAAAGAGATCCTTTTAAATAAAGCACAGCAGAGCCTTGGAATAAGGCCCAGCTGCTCAGCATGGCCCATCATGGAGAAGGATTTTCCTGAACCTGGAGAAGAGAAAGCAAGAAGAAGAAAGGGTAGAAAAGGAAGTGAAATGTATGTATCAGCTGAGGTCACGCAGCAGAAGAGTGGCACATCTGGCCCCGAAAACCCAGGCCCTCAGACGCAGCCTGGGACACCAAAGCTGCTGCTACGCTTTCTATTACACTCACCGCCTGCAGGCTGACCCCCATTGCAAGAGCTGGAGAGCACCTCACTTACAGATGAATGTGCACAAATGCAAGCACGAAAAATACATAATCTTTAAAAGTATGTATGGTAAAATTCCAACCACGCTTTATCAAGATAACATTGATAGTATTTTACTGTTGTATATATCATACTTATTCCTTCATCTGAGTCTCTTAGTTATGCTATGATGTGGTAATTAGCCAGCACTGTTGTGATTTATTTATTCCTACTTCATAGCTGAAAAAACAGTGGCTCAGAGTGTTAACCACTGAACCACTAGTATGTTTTTAGTTTGCTTATTTCAACCAACTGATTCACAAGCCTGGGTTTAATAACTTATCATTACTTTTGTATCCTGGTAAAGATCCTCAGTATAGGATGATACTAAGAGTTTTTCTGTAGTTTTTACTATAACATTTATACTGAGAAACTGGTTAAGTATTCTTCTAGTTCAAATACAGGTTAAAACGATAACTTAGGAAAATGACATGTAAGGTTTTTAAATTAGCTTTGCTTATTAACATTGAAATTACTAAATTAGCAAAACTGCTGCACCTTCAAAAAGATGGTTACTTTTGATCATCTAATTCAGCTAAATGCACAAAAGTCAGGAAGCATTTTTCTGTTGCTTCTCAGAGGTTTTCTATTTTTAAATTTTCAAAAATGCATATTTAATCATTGATGCTAAATAAAAGCCACTTCTTACCTGTTTGTCCATATGCAAAAATACAAGCATTATACCCCTGAAAGGCTTTTTCAAGAATTCCTTCCCCAAGGCACTTGAAAACCACTTCTTGACCTAAAAACCAAGACAAACACAAACTAAAAACCAAAAAAAGGGAATAATTTTTAACACATTTGTATTAGTAACATCTCAATTAAAAAAAGGTTAAAATTGTACTGAATGTCTACTATGAACAAGGCAAGGCTACGTATTAATAGCTCAATATATGCAATTTCATTCACGTTTCTAAATTATAGCTCAGTACGTGCATAAACTGTTTCCCTCTAAGACATTTCTTTAGGCATTGAAGTTTCCTTTCCATTGTCAGTGGGCCATATGGAAGCATCAGTCAAATTTGGTTTAGTTAGTTCTTATGACTTAGCAACCAAAAATGTCATTAAACATCAATTGCCTTATCTCCCCATCTGGATTCAGAGCTTCCAATGAGCAAGAACCATGTCATACACACTTTGGTACCCCCTTTGTCCCCTAGCATGGTGTTCTGTACATGCCATGTCCCAAAAAACTGTTCACTGGTGATGGTGGAGTGATGACTTCAACTGCTGTTTGTAGATTTGCAGGCACCCTCACCTGTGTTCCCACTGGGGCCCCAGGGACAAGTTCTCTTACATGAATCTCTCTGCATCATATTGTCACTCTTGGGGGTATTCAGTCATGTACTGAACTATGGTAAGTCAGGCTGAAGAGTAAAGGTGTGACAATTTTTTAAAACACAAGCATTTACTGCACTTTGAAATTGGTGACTTTTGAACATTTATTCCCCATCATTAAGAGAATTAAAATTACATTCTCCTTCCTCTATGCTCTTATAGTTCTCAGAACATTCACCATTACAGCATCTGCAGAAACTAATGGCTTAAGTACCTGTTTCCTCCACTGGAATGAGCGCCCCTGATGTCAGAGGCTATAATCTGTTTATCTTTGTAATCCTAGTGCCTAGTACAAAATGCATAATAACTGTTTGTTGAAATAATGAGTCAGTCTAACCTTTTTATCCTACATGACAGTTCCTTTTACATTTGAAAACAATGTAAGTAAGTTTTTGGTTTCATGTTTTTCTCTTACGCCAAGCTGGATCTGAGTTTAGAAGTCCCTTGTTATATCATGATATTATTTATCATGATCGTGGAATGGGACTCTTAAAAGTGTGTCAACACAAAACAAGGGATACTATTTTCAACAATTAGGCTGGCAAAAAATAAAATAAAACTTTGACAACATCAAATATTGCTGGATTGAGGAAATAGGTATTTTCATAAGCTGCTGGTGGGAGAATAAACGAAGAGAGCCATTATGAAGGAAAACCTCATGGCTTCTATAAAAGGGAATATGCCCACACTCCCCAACCCGCTGTGAGGCCTCTACCTTAGAGACACTCTCCCACGAAGGGCCCTTTCCGAGGATGTTCATGGCAGTGCTATTTATAAAACCATAAACTGGAATCAAATGAAATGCCTATTAGTATGGCAGTGGGTAAGTAGAATGCGATTATTTTTATATGATGGAATACTACACAATATTTTATAAAATAAAAAAACCCCACATCTATGTATAAAAATGCTAGAATTAAAAAAATACTGTTCAGTGAAAAAAAGCCATTTTTAAAACTGTACATATAATGTAAAAACTTATGTCAAATACTGTGTGTGTGTGTGAGAGAGAGATCTATAGATGCTATGGTATAAAAATGAATTAAAAAAAATACCAAATGATGTAACTTTATTTCTCTATTGCTAACTTCTACCATCCAACACTGAGGGCCTGGTACCTAAGAGATATTCAAAATATGTTGGTGGGATATGTGGATTTTTTAAAATGGGTGTTATCCTAAGAGCCTTTTTTCTGAAACTCACAGGTTCGTTGTGAAGACTACTTAAAGGTACGTGTGTGTGTATTTGTGCACACACACGTTCTGAAAAGAATAGGGTATTGTCAAAATTATCTACTACACATACACTTTAAGAATTGCTTTTATGTTACAGTCAAGTATGATAGTTTTGTGCTCATTAAGAAAATATCTGACCACCCTGGTGCGTGATCTTTCATACACATCAGTATTTTCTCACACGTTTTCTCAAAGTACCTTCCCTTATTCCACACATATTCCCAAGCCCCATGCTAAAAGGCAGGCCTTATATCTGGAACGGAGAGTCCTGTATCAGAGAGGATCCAGAATCAAATGCAGCCTGTGCTCAGGCTTGTTAGAACTGCCTGTGGTCCTCATGCAGACCCAAGTGCCATTCGCAGACCCAAGTGCCATTTGAAGGCATTCTAAAAGCAACATTTCTTGGCATAAGCAGCTGAATGAAGCAATCAATCCTGTTTGATCTTCCACACTGGTTAACCAGCCCCCAGGAAGGGGGTGGGGTGAGGGTGGGGACAAGAGACTTTAAGAGTTGGCTAGGTCAAGCACCCTGACCGTAATTCATGATTCCAGCTCATATTTAATAATTTGAAAAAAAGCAAGAGCTTGAGTTGATGAAAGGACTCAACTGCAGAGGAGCACTGTGTGTGGTCAAAGAGATTTTAGCATGGCCTGCTAGAGCCTGAAATCATTAACCAATCAAGAATTTATACCTATTCCTACATATCGGGTAGTGAAACGTAACACTTCTGCTTTCTGCTCCGAATGCCGAGTAGGTTGGAATTAGGAGGGATTATTTTCCCTACGTTCTTTCAAGAGTAAGTCACAAAGTGTCTTTTTCCTTGGTAAGAATGATCTTTTAAGCTAAAGATTATTCGTTGGAAAAAACAAGAATGAATACTATAGAGCTACATGAAATAGGTTTACAAGTGAAAAAAACCCAACAACAAGGATGTGTATACTAAAATTGCATGAAAAATGAACAAAGAATTCCCTGGCATATAAAAATATAAGAGTAAATTTCAATTTAGCATATGTCCAAATATCACAATACTAAACAGGACATTACTTAACCTAATTAAACTAGTGTACTTTTATTACTTATGCTACTAAGGAGAAGGTGGGAAATTAATTTTTATGAACTGTCCTATTGGTAATATACTTTACATATTTTATATCATTGAATCCACACAATGTCCAGGTAGGGTAGGTATGAATTATGATGGATAAGGTGACTGGGTTTCAGAAAGGTTAAGCAATTTGCCCAAAACTTCATCACTTGTGAGTGGCAGGGCCCGGGCCTGCCTATACCGACTCCCAAATGTTAAGGCTGATGTCCGCCCATGTCGGTTAACTCATGCTGCATGACACCGGGAATCACCTGCTCCCGGCTCTCGTCTCCAAGGTATTTTTGACAAACTGCCAGAACTTATTACGCTGCCCGATTTTTTCTTTTCACGTTTGCCTCTCCTGCTAGGTTTGTGAGCGCCTTGAAAAGAGGAGTCACTGCATGTTAGCAGAGTGCCGGGCGCACGGCAGGCACTCATATTTACTGAATTTTTCCTGCGTTGACACTGCTGTTCTCGGGCTGACGTGTTTTTAATTGAGGGCTCCTTTCCTCATTAGTAATAATAAAAGTCATCAAAACATTGCTCGTTAACCTTAAAAAGAAATGCTTAATTGTATCAGTTTCCACTTTGGTCAAAGTATGACTGTTTTTGAAATTCTAACGAATCCCTGAAGACAACAGTAGGCCTTTGTTAAATAATAAATAAGCCAATGGGGTATGAATAGATGTGTCAACATAGTATGTATTAGTCAGATAATTTTTTTTTTTTTTTTTTTTGAGACAGAGTCTCGCCTTGTTGCCCAGGCTAGAGTGAGTGCCGTAGCATCAGCCTAGCTCACAGCAACCTCAAACTCCTGGGCTCGAGTGATCCTTCTGCCTCAGCCTCCCGAGTAGCTGGGACTACAGGCATGCGCCACCATGCCCAGCTAATTTTTTATATATATATTAGTTGGCCAATTTCTTTCTATTTATAGTAGAGACGGGGTCTCGCTCTTGCTCAGTCTGGTTTTGAACTCCTGACCTTGAGCAATCCGCCCGCCTCGGCCTCCCAAGAGCTAGGATTACAGGCGTGAGCCACAGCGCCCGGCCAAGTCAGATAATTTTGATAAAAATTACAGACCACCCTTTCACAGATACTCAGAGTAACCTCCTGGGCATTCTAACAAAATACATGTGACAAAAAATAAAGCTAGCTACTCTGATTTCCACTAAATATGTGCATATGATTTTAGAAAACAGTCAAGTTCTTCTAGTTACAGTTACGCTTGGCAGATAGAATATTCAAATTTAACATATTGAATAAAGTTTTATTCATAACTGGGAAAGGAAAAAATCTGAGAAAAAAAATGAATACAAAAAAATAGAAAACTAATATACTGTTTCTGAAAAGATTTGTTTTCTCTTTTCCATGTATTTTTTATAAATCTAAGTAGGACTGGGTTCTAGAGAGACTGGAATACATTTTACCACTATGGCTTCATGTCTCAAAGGAAATTAATTTTCTTATAAGACAAGAAATAATGAACATTTTTTAATCTCTACAAATTATACATCCATGTCAGCATTTTTAATAGGTGTTGAGTTTTCCGTTATATGAATAAGTGATTCCATCTGCTCCCCACAATGGAAATTTAGATTTTTCCTCTAATTTTTCTGCAATATTTACCCTTACATGTTTATCTCTGTGCACTTTCCTATTGACTTTACTAGGCAAAAGTCCAAAAAAATCAAATTGCTAAGTCGTCTAGTAATGCACTGTTTACAACACCTTCAACGTCACTGCCTATGATCATTCTTCTTAGTTTTGACTAAATGAATAGGGAAAAAAAGCCTCCTGTTTTCATAAATTAACTTTCTTTTTTTTTGTTTACTGCTCATTTGTATTAATTCTTCAGTAAATTAGCTATTTAAGTCCTGTGCTCATTTTTATAAATCAGTTGGTTTAGCCATTGCTTTTTTTCTTATTAATCTTTTTTTGAGACAAAGTCTCACTCCGTTCCCTGGGCTAGAGCACCGTGGCATCTGCCTAGCTCACAGTAACCTCAAACTCCTAAGCTCAAGGGATCCTCTTGCCTCAGCCTCTCGAGTAGCTGGGACTACAGGCATGTGCCACCATGCCTG